TGGAGGAAAAATATGTCTCTTACGTAAAGTAATAAAAATGATAATAACTAGATAGTTAATTAAGGAAGTTGCAGTTAGTCAGAGTGTTCAATTTCCTCGATCTGTGATCCTAAGTATTATAATTTTACATACGAGTATATATATAAACTCGAGAATATTATGTAATTTTCTTCTATTCTATCTGTAATTGCTTGTTTGGAGATTCCATTAGCGTAGACAATATATCATCGACGCTTCGATCCTATAAATAATAATCCTTACGATGTTCGCGTAGAACATGTCGTTGCAACAAGTGCATTGCATAAAAAATTACGTTGCACGGAAAAAGTATTATAACATAATCAAACTTCGTATTTCGTGCACGTTTCCACATTATTATGTTTCACCTGTTTTATCGTTTATGACTTTCAACGACGAACGAGATCAAACGAATGTAAAAGGAAGCTTTTTCTTAAACGGCTCAACTCGCCACATTTCATTTGTCATTAAAAGTTTGATCGTTAAAGGAGAAAATCGAAACGATTCTACTGTCAAACTCGTGACACAAACTCGTGATCGCAATTGATCTAAAATATCGCGTGATTGCAAATGAAAATATATAGATAGCGAAACGAAGAAAATCTTCCAACTGATGTGTGTGTGTGTGTATCGAGCCAATTGGCTTGTCACTGATCGCGTAAGCGCCATACGAACGACATTTCGAAGAAAAAGGCGGTGGATGTTCGCTGAGACGCGTCGAGTGTGGAAGAGACGACACGTTGAAAATATACATCACTCCTTGACACTTTGAATCTAGGCTACGAGAGTTACTCGCCGGGACATGTGACTGAATATCGTGACATGGTTCGCGATCCATGCGACGGCCGCGCGAGCAACGGATGGAACCGACCGGAACAATTTTAATGAAGATGATTTTCGTCGCCAGGAAATGACAACAGTTGAGAAGTCGATCTCGGAACCGTTTTATTTTCGTTTTTCTTCCGTTCCACCGGCTACTTTCTTCCACTAACACGCGTTTGTTCGTTTCGCTAAAAGCAAGCGATTCACAAAAATATTTCAACATTTACTATATACAACATTCTGAAATTTCTTTAATACCGTGTAAAAGGACACCTTTAGCATTGTCATATTGGCGAAATTTAAAACCAATCTGAAGCAGTAGTAGTAGTAGTGATAGTGGTATGTAATAATATTTATTTATTGTATGAGACTTCCGCGCAACAGAATATATATATACATACAGGGTGGTCGGTAACTGGTGGTACAAGCGGAAAGGGGATGATTCTACGCGAAAAAAGAAGTCGAAAATATAGAATAAAAATTTTTCGTTTGAGGCTTTGTTTTCGAGAAAATCGACTTTGAATTTTCACTCGGTACACGTGCGGTACGTTATAACGGATCTCACTGTAGATCGTTGTCTCGATGGAAAAATTAAAAAAAAAGATGTTATTCTATATTTTTGACTTCTTTTTTCGCATAGAATCACCCCCTTTCCGCTTGTACCACCAGTTACCAACCACCCTGTATATATACACATATAAGTGTACGCGTGTACGATAATACAAATCGTGTTTTAATTTTATGCAATAGATCAACTGTTTCGTAAAGATTGTGGTTTGTTACTGCTCGGCAGATTAATTTTCTTTACCTTGTTTCTATTACAGCGTCTGACTTGTTTTCCTATTCATTCTCCTAAGTAGAGGGATCTTAATCTCATGCATAATTTTACGCATGTATCTTCTATTAGCTTTTCTCTTGGAGCGAGATAAATACTTGGAATCTCCATATTTTTTAAGGATAATGCTAGTCCACATTAAGATCTATATTGAGCACACTTGATTAGAATATGTTCCAATGTCTCCATTTCGCGTCTACTGCACAGTTTGCAATTTAAATTGTTGTTAATGAAATATGTAATACTCTTGACGTTTACCGTCTATCCAATTCTACCTGATAATGCTAATCGGACTAGGTTCTTTTGTAGGTAAGAGGTATATTTAAGCCTTTTTTCCTTTTAGTATATGTCTTCAAGTTATTTATACAAGGACATTGTACGTATATGCATTGTATGTAATCAATCTGAAGTATATGGAAGTTACAAGATGTTTACTTTAAGATTTGAACTCAACCTGAAGTTATTTACGACATTATAGTTGTCTGATTAAATATGTTTGTGATCTCTGGAAAAAATATATTTGCACTAAATATCTTATAGCTTCTTGTGCATATCAAATTTTACCAATATTATCATATGGTAATAATGAGCATAAAACAGTGGATAATGTGGTAATGGAAGTAATGAAATTTCAAAATGTTTTGCTGAGCACACATAATATATTCACAAAAAGTTTCTACAAGTATGTCAGCCACTGTGCGTGATGTCTAAAAGTCCTAGAGCTGTAATTATTTGAATCTTCTTTTGACAGTCTTAGTACTCAATAAGATTGAACATTTAGTGGAGGAACATCGTGTTTTTGAATTAAGAAGTGGTATACATATAGCACGAATATTCTGCACGTTTTTGCATCTTTATATACTTTCCTCGACAATCATAGCATATACCAACTTGCAAGAAAAGCAAAACAAATATTCATCGTACGCGACACGGTAATATCAATAACTCTAAAATATCTTTTTCCAAAACAATACTTACATTCATACAAACCTCAACTTGTATACGTATATATGTGGTATCAGGTCGTGAAAGACCTAATTTGTCAACAGAGAAACCAAAACGAAACACCAACATTACAAGTATTACAGTACAGAAATAGCAACATTCTAGGCTCGATAAATTATTTGTCGTATCATGGAGAGGACCAAATAAAAAATTCCATAGAAACGGTTAATGCAATGATCTCAACGAACTAATAACAAGAAAGAGAGCATAGCTTCTTATCAAAAAGCTATCACAAGTATAAGCTTGAAATATTCTGTTGAAACGAATAAGAACTCGTCGGGAGCCGAATGATACTCTGATATCAATGGCTGCAACATTGCGAAATATTAGGATGCTTTTCGCAAAAGAACGTTTACGCTCAAAGCCTCAACTTTGATAACTGCGTGATGTGGTATCGTGAAAGCAAGAAATCTCAAAGGAAGAAGTAATTTGTTAACAGAGAAAGCAAAAATCGCGCCGATACGTCAACCGATAAAATACCAGAGGATAGAGAAATACCAACATTCTAGTCTGTGCGCATAAATTGCCCGTCGTATCACGGCCGAACGGAATAGAAAATTCCTCGGACATGGTCAACCTAATAATCTCGGACTGTTTAAAGAAGAGACTTTTCTGCCGTTTGGTTACGCCAATTCCACGTAATAACAGTGAAATATTGAATCCGAGCGTAAACTGCAATTTAATCGACTCACGGCACGAATGTCTGCGGGACACGAACGAGATCTCGAGTTGGCTCGCTTCGAGGTTCCATGTAAACGAGAAAATTCTCGAAGAAGGGAAATGCCGTGGGGTCCCCAGGGGGTTCGTACCCACCGACGCATCGACCCTGTTCCTCTCGTCGATCCTTTACCTTGTCTCTCCCTTCCTCTCCACCGGTCTTTCTCCTCTGTTTTCTCTGTCTCTCGCAAGAGAGGATCAACGATAGTGATTGGCGATTACGTTAACCAAACACCGCGGTATACGCCCCTGCAATTTGCCTGAGGATCATCTTCCCCTAATCGCCGCGCTAATAACAGGATTACCGAGGCCTGACCGCGGAATCGTATACTTATCCCTAATTCGCTGTATCGTTATTAATATATATAATACAATTGAGAACGTCCCGTGGCTGCGATAAGATGACTACGTGGTCGAGGCACGTGCGAAAACGCCGAAACGCCGCCATTTTTCGCGAGTCCCTCTATCCACCACCACGTTGTAATTTCGGATCAATGAAAGGGGCGAAAAATTACGCTCCTCCCGTTGATTGATTGATTTTTCCCGTTTTATAGTTACAGTCTTTGATTGCTTACTTTCGTCTTTTTCTTCCCCTCTTTCCTTCGTTTTCAAGCATCTTCTTGGGATTCGATGGTGTACGAAATAGTGTTTTACGGGTGGTATTCATTCGTGAAATTTCGTGGATTTAATCATTTCGTATGCGACGGATCGGTCATTTTTCGTGTTTTACGAATTTATGACTTGTACGGTTTTATAGAAGGCGAAAATATAATACAAATTCCAATGTCGCGTATTCCAGTAACGTTCAATTTAGTCGCTGTTTAGCTTCTTTTCATTTAGATTACTCTAAACTCTTTACTAATCTATGAATGGTTAATGAAAAAAGACATGATTTATTTTGTCCGTAGATTTTAGAGACAGATCGCGATTCTTCTTCTACATGAAACGACATTCAGTTGTAGAGATCGAAGAAAAATACGTAAGTTATCTCGTTCACGGATGCGACAGAATTAAACAATAACGAGGATAATCCGTATCAACACCTATAAATTTTATAAGAAGTTGCTTTATTTCTTATTGCAATTGTCATTTAGGGAACTTTTAAATCTGCCTTCGCGTGTATTATTATCCCTCCCCCTAAGCAACCTTATTTTTACCGACGTCATTTTTTTTCAGTTTTTGTATCTTAGAAAATTATGAAAAATTCTTAAATATTAAAAGTCATTCAACATAAAAATTCTTCCAAGTTCCTAGAATATCACTCGATAGTTTTTATCGCTACGTGTTACCTTAATTTGTTTGAAACAAACTTTTTAAAATAAAATTTAACCATTTAATTAAATATGCAAGAAACGAAAAGTTACCTAAAATTACTGATCGAAAATGAACTGGTATGCGTATGAACGGTTATATACGTACGTATTTTGCGACGTAAAACACTGATAAAATTATACATACTTAATATTCGCTAAATTTTTCTAATAAATCTAACGAGTAGATGTCCTCATACTTATGTAGCCGGCAGTATGTTACTATTTGCTTCTTATTACTACTTATTTCGCTACTAACGGAAAAATGCAGTTAAAAAGCAGAAAATACTTACGTGTAATGGGAATAAGAAGGGCTGGCCTGCTCAATGTGCGTAGCCGTTGACAAGCCTTGCACGATGGCAGCTGAGGGATCCCTAGCTGGCGAAGAATTTTGGGCTGCTGGTACAGCGTGATGGTAGCGCTGGCACATTTCGGCCAAATTCCACCCATGGGCATCCATATATTAACACTGCTTCGATTTTCTTTGGCGTACCATCCATTTCACACGCGTTATGACACTGTCCTCTTTTTGGTCCTCCGTTTCTTACTTGAATACCGTATATGTACTCGATTCACTTCCCCGTCTCGTCGATTACAAGCGAATCTGAACAACGTAAGTTGCAACGAGACGCACTCGCGTGATTATCGTCCATTTCCCGTCTCGAGACTTTAAACATTGCACTCAAATCGCGATCTTCGACGACAAAGAAAAATCCAAAACGACGATCTTCCTCGCTCTTTCTTCTGGTACAGGATTCTGCTAACAAAACGAAATTGTACGTTAAGTTAAGTTAAAATTATTCAAGTTAACTGAATTTAAGCAATTTAAAACCTGTTTCGACGTGTCATTCGTTTGATTTGAAATATCCTCTTAACCTCTTAAACAGTTATGTCACATAAAATATACACACGAAAACCACAATCACATTGTGAACGGCGGATATAATAAGATTATGAATGTTGCTGTGTATCTAAATGTTTACGTCGAATATATATATGGAACTGTATTGTTTTGGATCTTGGAATAGCTCGTCACACTAACCACCTTCTTCAAAGTTATCCGTCTTTTTCTAATAGTAAGTTCAGTCTTCAAAGCATTGTATTGCTTATGATATAGTATAATGTATATGTTAGCGACGAAAAATCATGCAACTGTGCAGTATTTTCTCAATAATGAAACATAACGCTTGAGGGATTAACACTAGAATTGTCGACGATTCAAATATGAGACTTTAAAATTCCATTGCCTCAAAAAGGCAGAGATTTTATTAAAGAAACATTTAAAATTTCAAAGATGCACCGTTGTGGATTTATAAAATTGTTATGAAAAATTGCAAATTGGTCATTTCGCCTCATTTTCATCAGTCACGTTATTTGATGTCAAGTTGCATGAATTCAATCAATCTGAAACGCTTTAGTAACATGTTGGTTTGAAATACTTCTTCGAGTTACAAGCGAAACGAAGAATGTTTTAATCATCTTCGACTTGAAAGAGCCAATAGCTACTAGCAACGTAATGTTATTTCTAATTTCATGCTCCGATGTTGGTTCCCTAAATCAAGTCGATTTTGTCACAACCAAATCGTTTATTGTATTGCGCAAATCATCAACATTTCAAATCATTATCGCGTCTTTCTCTATCTAAGCCCTAGATACAGCAAAACAACTGCGATATATTTTACAATCCGATTCTTCGCTTGATTCTTTTTGCTACTGATTTTTCAAACGTTCCTTGATACACTTACAATATCTCTCATTGTTACAGACATTCCACTAATCGCCATTTCTTTCAACGAGGTATCCATTATCTGGCTAAAATCAAATCAACCGAAACGACTTCGAGTCAACTAATCTGATTTAAGGCTTTATAAACATAAACTCGACGTCGCATTACGTAACTCCAAATAATTACAAATTCCAGCGACTCAAATTCAAGTAACTTGATTAATTCAGACGAAGCTTCGGCGTTAGGAATTCCACGATGATAGATTAGTCGAATGGAAAAAGTCGAAAGGTTGATAAAAGCTGACGAAGGTAAACGATAGAAACCATAGAATACGTGCACAAAGATTCTGATGTTCATTACATAATACTCGGACTGATCACGGTTTAAAGGCCGGGTTAATGAAAGTGTCTGGTTAATTTCAACGGCGATGAGTCGGTAATAAGGTTCGGCTAATGGACGGGTTCAAAACGCGATACGAGATAATCATTGGTATCGGAGGCTCCGATATCGATCGGCTTCTATCCGCGAAACAACGATCGGAGCGTTAATCACTACTGTGCGGCAAATCATGCGAACAGCTATAATCGCTATCGATATTATGGTCCATCAAATCAGAGGTATCGTCGAGTTGCACCTAATCTAATATAGGAAAGAGAATAACAAGACCTCGAGGGACCCATCGATCGATCCAATTTCTTCGTGGCGATATTTTACGCGATCACGTTCTTCCGTGGCTTTCTTTCGCTATACACACACACGTAGTGGCGTACAAAATTCTTTTCATAAATTCATATTTTAAAGAATTGCTATCGACTTGTAAAACTTATTATTGATACAATGTATTGGTATAACGTATTGTATACTCCATTAGCAAGATTGGTTTCATTTGTCTCGCTGTTAAAAGCGTATAGATAGGTCTTAAAAATATTGAGTAACATACATATATTACATATTTCTATTAAATGATTCTATAACGTAAATCGTTTTTATTTATAAATCTTCGTAATATATTTTCGTAGTCCGCAGTTAAAAAAGATCGTTATGTCCCAGTCTAATTCTTTTTATTCTACTGAACTTTCAAAACAGTAAAAATTTCTTCGATACAAACGAAAATTCTTCTCCAGGAAACTCAAAGGTAAAATCGCCCATCGTCTTATTTATAGAAGCTTAATACCTTTTACCTATTAATAAACAGTAGAAAAAATATATATAGCAAAAATATAACGTATATCGTAAGAAAATCGTTAAATGTTCTTAGCTCGACAGCCTTCCACTCCTGGCCTCATGATCAATCTGCCAATGACAAACGCGATCAGATCACGTGAAATATACGCTTTCTCGCTGTATTCGAATAATTATTTATTTCCTTATTGTCCATGGTTGACGAACGATCCAATTATCGAGGAAATAGGCCGCCAATAATTTTCGGTACCTCTTGCAAGTGGCACGACACAGAGACCGTGGACCGTTTTAAACTTATAATTTCCTCCAGAAATTAATCGTCGACTACTGGGTTGGGCTGGCAAGCGCCGTTTCCTTCGTGGCTTAAGCGATTGGGTGTTAATCACGCCGGTGACCACGGTATATGTATATATGTACATATACACATATATACATGTATATATACTATATATATAGTAGTATATATATATATATAGCATATATATATACATATATCGTAAAGTAGCCAATCGCCAATAAATTACCAACGAGTTATCTGAACGAGTCGACAGTAAAACGTTGCGTTTCTCTTTTCTTAAGATGCAATTAACCGTCGCGGGCCTGCATACGATTTAGCACCTAAAAACTATGAAACCAGATACCCACGTTGCCCACGAACCTGTGATCTTATCCCGTCACACTGCAAACTTTAGAAAGGGAAGCCGAAGATGGCCACATAGCTCGTCTCTGTATCATCTAAACGCGAGCTTAAGGTTTCCGAGTTTTTACAGATACCGGGAATTAACGACATGTCGAATATTTCCAGGTACACGCGCTTCTTCCATGCAAGATCATTAAACGGTGACGTTTAGGGATAGAATAAAGAACCGTTAATAACGTATCCCCAATAAATCTCGAAAATGGATAACTTCACGGACGTTGATGAATTCGATGAATTTGAATAAAATCAATTTTCCAGCAGCGTGGTTCGCCGCTCGATCGTTCGCGTTATAAATCACGATCTTTCTAGGTTAATCGTGCCTCGTTCCATTAGCACGAAAATTGAAATTTCCACCGCGAAGCGCGAAGAACACGGCGCCTCGATCACTTTTCGATCCTCCTATTCTCCGCGACGCGACGGTGTCGTAGCGTAATTCGAGAGTCATCCGCAGGAATTCACTCGGCAATCGAAGCAACGCTTGAACTTAGACCTTTCGTGCGCCATTAAAGCCCCCACGACACACGTGCAACGCGCGCGCATTCCATTTCGAAAACCGACTTTTCATCCTGAGATGGAAACGCACCGCGTGTGCCGCTTTGTATCGAATCGGTGGTCGTCAATTATCAACGTGGAATTTCCAAAAACGTCGGCCACCGTGTGCACGAAACGAGAGGGTGAACTCGTGGGCTCCTCGAGGCGAAACGCGGTTAGAAAGTTGCTGGTTCGGGAACGTTGATTTACAATTTCCAGATTTTACAAGCCGTATATCGAACAATCTCGCGCGGTAATTGTACGCTCATTACGCGGCTCTTGCATATTATTTACTTTCTTCGCGAGTCACCGCCGCGATCGGCCAACAGGAGATGCATATCGCCATGAAAATCGCGTAGAAACGTCGAATGAAAAGAAGGAGGGAAAGAGAGAAAGAGGCGAGGAAAGAGAAAGAGGGAGAGGGAAAAAAAAGGTTGGCACGCGAGGAAAAAGGGACAAGCCGCTCTCCCTGCCAAGAAACCGATAATTTAAGCGGATTTTTCAGCGTGACATCGTTACGCGACTCCGCGGCATTCCGTGTGCTTTCGTGCCTCCATCCTTGTAATGACATACACCGTGCGATGCAACGAATATCGCGTATCGATCTGGCATTATGATTATTATTGCGTTATGGCTTGCCACGATTGAGACCTTCGTTCGTTTGCAACGCGCACGCATACGTGTGTACGAATATGTGGACGGTGGGGCACACGCGTTTATGCGCGTACACTTTAGATTCTGATTTTATATCAGTCTCGTCTGGACTGAGCGAATATTATGCAGGATTGTTTGGTGAAAATTATAGCAACGTAGAGACGGGATACGCTCTTTCTTTTTGAAGAAATTAAATTTTAACTACGCTTTAGCTGCGTTGCTTTAGGTATTTTAATCCTAGTTATGTATGCTTTTCTAACATTAAAAAATATCTTCAGTTTGAACCAAATATGAAGATAGTCTGACCGATGTGTATTTTTCGTTACAATTTTACGTAGAACAATCTCTAAAAACGTTGCAAATTCCTCTTGTTTGCTAAAATGAAGTTGAAACATGGAGGATATGTTTGAAAGACTTTGTTCAAGGGCAAAGAAGAATAAAAATAGTTGATATATACGTATTGTGATAAAGCTTTGTACGACGACTATAATTTTCCAGTCACATTTTTTAATAGGGTTAGATAACTGACGTTATTTAGACAAGGGGAAGATAGGTAACCGTATTTCTGAATTTGGAAGGATAAACCAAAAATATTTACTTGGATGAGAAAGTTAGTGTTAGATGAAAGAAGATCTGTCAGACCAACGTACGTAAGCGTGTGATTTGTATATTCAACATTCGGAGTATATTGAATGACAAAGTGGTAGACACTCGAGCAACAAACAACCAAAACTACCTCATATTTCACCAAACTATAAACTCATTCAACTAGCTAATCCAGTTCTACGAAACAGCTATATAAAATACCTATATCTTTATCAAGCGATGATATACTATGTCAAATATTATCAGTTTCGATTTATAACTATTTATCAACTAAATTTCCGGACTTGTTTCACCTGTAATTCTTCAAATTTCCTAAATTGTTCGTGCTAAAAACAGAAATCACTCCATACCATAATAGCGTCAGAATTTATATGGTATCTCAAACACTATACATCATACAGCCAACATTATACATCATTCATTTTAATGACCCTATATAAATGAAGTTTAATTCAAACTCTGCAAAACTTTAGCCGAAGAAAAACGAAATTCGGAGAAAACGGACGTGGAACATCGCAGGTTTTTCCAACTCATTGGGGACGATTTACGGTCTCGTTATCGTGCTGTTGAGCGTGCACGTCTCAATCGTGCGACGGACACGCTCAATGCGGCTAGTTAGAAGCGTTTAACTCCTCCATCAGACTATCGAATCCGACCTGGCCTCTCGAATCACCGTATTATCGGTTAAACTATTACGACGTCAAACGACGACGAGGTCGTTCGATTTCATATGACGAGGACACGTCTCGATGGCGCAAGCTTCGATTTATAATGCACCGGTAAAATTCGAAAGAACGCGGCCATCGTTCATGTCTATTTTACATCGTGACAACGAACGTAGGAGATTAGTCGATGCACCTTCGAGAAAATGTCTATTGTCTATCGTGGTTTATCAATTGTTGGTTAATGACGTGAATGTTGAACTGTGATTTACGGAGATCGTAGCTCATTATCATTTCAGGTTGTATCGAGTGTGAAATTACAGCATTAATGGAGGTATTTAACGCTTTGCACGTGATAGATATATGGGAAACACGACGTTGCACATTTTGGGCAGATGATTTTAGAATGGGTGTTGCATAGGCATAGATTTGAGGAAGAGTTACACATTTTTTATTGTATACAATCGAAGATTACATGAGAGAAACGTGATACGCTCGTTTTCGCTGATTTTCTAATTTTAATATCGCTTTATGGTTAAAAGAGGATTTTAATATGACATATCTTTTTATTTAAAATGACGACAAAGTGTTTTAAAAATAGCTGATGAGTTGATCGAGTTTTGTGGAAGCCAAAATAATTATTAAGGCAAGCGATATTTTAATTAATTTAACTTTTCGAATTTTTATATAATTGCGATTGTTGGACTTTTAGGATGGAATATTTTCGAGATATTTCGATGATGATGTATAAATTTAAATTTGTTCTCATTAAATTGATTAATGATTAATTGATAATCTGATTAATTTAATTTCAATGACTATATTGTCAGAACATAACGTTTCAACGAAGAGTTATACATTTTAATATGTTTGCATAAAATGGAAAATGTATTGAAAATTGGCGCTGGAAAATTTAAACACAAAGCCAGGTTTTGATGGCATGAGGAGATTGCGCGATTCAGCATGAAGCTGAAAATGAAGCAGTAATAACTAACTCGGGGAGTGTGCACACCTTTTAGCCTTGGTAGATCACGATAATATTTCTGAAGATCGTAGAACACTCTACGCGTGATGTTTCATAACGTGTAAACGTAATTTCAGGGATTGGTTAGTGCTACTTGGAACTAGGTAAAAAGGATAGCGTAAAGATTTAACCCCAACTTTATTCTCGAGTTACAGGTATTCTATCTACCATTATTTCTTATCACAGATCGATATCGTACTTAATGAAATTTGTTCTTTAAAAGGATACTTAAATAGTTTCTCAGATATTTCTTCTTACGAAACTTTCGATATGTTCAACAATTTCGAATATTCTTTCAGTTCATATTGACAAGTAATCGAGTGCCATTATCCGCAGCAACATTTACTTTTCTCGGCTCAATTATCAAAACGGAAAAAGTGGCGATAACTTGAAACAAAGATCGACTATAATACAAGTGATAAACCTTCGAACGAATCGCTTTCCTTGTTATTATCTACTTTAATTTCACCCTCGTATCGAACTCACACGTTATAAAACACCCGTATACCGCCTAACTCTAATAAGCAACACCCACGCGAACGAAAGATCGAATTCATCTAACTGGTCTGGAAATGCTTGCCGTGTGTGTAGAAACTCAAGCCACGGGACTAAACGATACCAAAATTTTCATAATACCTGCTGCTTCGAATCGATTCTTGCTTACGCAACGAAAATCGGTCGACGAAAGCAGAGTAAAAGGAAGGCGATGGAATAAAAAAAAAAAAAAACAAGGAGCAGTCGGATACAACCTTCTAAACACGAGCAAAGAGACCTTGCCAAACAGCTCGTTCGCGTTTCGATTTTCGACACACGAAGCCCTGATCGAAATCGGTCGGGTATCGATCGGCCGATCGATCGGCGCACGAACTCGGTTATCGACTCTTGGATCGCCGTTAACGAAGGTTTCACGGTGGATTTTCGAAAAATCGACTCGAAGCGCGCGCGTTGCCTCCTTCCCTCTCCCTCCCGCCCCTCTCTCTTCGTCTCTCTTCCTCTTGTACACCCACGCGCGGCGCAACGACGAAACCGGCCGCCGGCTAAGAGAGAGTGTATTTCTCGCTTATTATCCTTTCCTTCGATTTCCTACCGTAAGGAAAAAGAATACTCGACTCGGATCCTGGCCTATGTATCGACGGTATCGTCCCGCTGCTCTCGCCGTCTGTGACTCACACGCGCGGCCACGTTAACGTGCACAACTCGCCTCCAAGATTTACAGCTCATTACCGATTTCATAGCCCCGAGTCACGACCGGGTCGCGG